ACTATTTTACTTTTTTCATTCCAGTTCAGATGACTTTTATTTATTTTTCTTGTCTGATTGTTGTGGCTGGGACTTTCAATACTGTGTTGAATAAAATGGTGAAAATGGAAATTCTTCTCTTGTTCCTGAAACTAAATTAAAAACTTTCAGTTTTTCACTGTTGAGTATAATATTACCTGGGTGTTTGTCATATATGCCCTTTATTATGTTAAGGAATATTCTCTCTACCCCTACTTTGTTGAGAGTTCTAAACTTGAATGTTGGATTTGGTCAAATGCTTTTTCTACATTTATTGATGTAATTTTTATTTTGTTTATGTAATGTATTACATTAATTGATTTGTGGATATTGAATCAACCTTGCATCCCAGGTATAAATCCTATTTTATCATGGCATATGATCATTTTAATATATTGCTGAATTTGGTTTGCAGATATTTCATTGAGTATTTTTGCATCTATGTACATTGAGGATATTGACCTATATATACATTTCTTACTTTCCATTTTTTTGGTAATGGTTTTTTCTGGTTTGGGTATGAGAGTAATGCTAACCTCATAAAATGAGTTTGGGAGTCATCCATCCTCTTCAGTTTTTTGTAATAGTTTGAAAAAGATAGTTACTAATTTTTCCTTGAATAGTTGGTAAATTTTACCTGTGAAGCCATCTGGTTCAAGACTTTTGTTTCCTGGGAGTTTTTAAATTGCTGATTTGATTTTGTTAGTAGTTGTTGGTCTGTTCAGACTATTTTTCTACTAGATTCAGCCTTGGATGATTGCATGTTTCTAGAATTTTATCCATTTCTTCCACATTATCCAGTTTGTTAGGATAAGATTGTTCATATGTGTGTTTTGCTTTTTTAATACATGTAATCTTTGCATTTCCATGTTGTCAGTTTTCACTCCTCTTTCATTTCTGATTTTATTTATTTGTGTTCCCTTTTTTTTACTACTCTTGCTAAAGTTTTATCAGTTTTATTTATCACGAAAAGTAGCTCTTGGCTTCATTGATTTTTGTTTTTGGACTCAATTTTTTTTGTTATTATTACTCTGATCTTTATTATTTCCTACTTTCTACTCAATTTGGGCTTTGTTTATTGTTCTTTCTCTAGTTCCTTTACATGGAAGTTTAGTTTGTTTAAATGAGTTTTTCTTCTTTTTTGAGGTAGACTAATATTGCTATAAATTTCCCTCTTAGAATTGATTTGGCTGTGTCCCATAGAATTTTCGGTCATTGTAGATTCATTTCCATTTGTCTCAAGGTATTTTTTTATTTCTTTCTTAACCTCATTGTTAACCCACTCATTGTTTAGTGACATGTTATTTAGCCTAAATATTGATCTATGTTTTTCAGATTCCTTCTTGTAAATAATTTCTAGTTTCACATCATTGTAAATGGAGACGGTACATGATATGATTTCAATCTTAAATTTCTTGAAACTTGTCTTATGGACTAACTTGTGGTCTCTCATAGAAAATATACCATGTGCATTGGAAAAGAACGTATATACTGCAGCTTTGGGCTGAAGTGTTCTAAAAATACCTATACTTATGTGGACTAATGTGTAATTTAAGACCATTGTTTTTTATTGATATTTTGTCTGGATAATATACCATTTGGTGCTAGTGATGTTTAACACTCCTACTCTGAGTGTATAACTGTGGATCTCTTTCTTTATGTCTATCAATACTTGCTTTATATATTTAGGTAAATATAGAGTTCATAAATGTTTACAAGAATTATTTCCTTTTATTAGAATTTTCACTTTATGATTATAAAATATTCTTCTTTGTCCTTTGTTATATCCTTTGTTTTAAAGTCTATTTTGTCTGATAAGAGAATTGGTACACCAGCTTTATTTTTTCATATCCATTTGCAGGAAATATCTTTTTTCATCCCTTTAAGTCTCTGTGTCCTTTGATCTGAAGTGGGTCTCTTATAGGTAGCATTTATATGGGTCTTGTTTTATACTCAAAGTGCCCCTTAGTTTGGCTCTTGACAGACTATATACTTAGAATAAGGCTAAGTATTAAGAAGATATTTGTGACTTTGAGCTTTTTCTTAACCTTTATGTACCTAATTTACATCCTCTATAAAATACAGTTAAAAAAATAACTTCAGTCCGTGCCAGATTTGCTCAGTGATTAGAGTGTTGGCCCACAGACCAATGAATTGCAGGTTTAATTCCAGTCAAGGGCACGTACCTCGGTTGCAGTTAGTACCTTGCCCTGGTTGGGTAGTGCAGGAGGCAGCCAGTTAATGTGTCTCTCTTACATGGATGTTTCTCTCTCTCCTTTCTTACCAATCTGTGTGATTATAAATTGGAAAATGTCCTTGGGTGAGAATTAAAAAATAAAAAAATAACTTTATAGGTGTATTCTGATAATTAATTGATTTAAAACTTGTAGATCTCTCTAAAAGCAGTACCTGGAATGTAGTAAATAATTTTATATTGTTACCTTTAATTGCTAATACTCTTAATACTGCTTCTACTATACTTACTAATGTTTGACTTCTAGATTTTACAACTCTCTAATCATGTATAATGTATCAGAAAGATGTTATTTAACAAAGGCTGTTTACAGAATTTTAATAAGTATTCTGGGATTCCAGTTGCCAGTCTGAGTTAATCAGTGTGTAGCCAAGGGCATAATGGTGGTGAGCATAGTTTGTATAATGGCCTGTCACTATTATAGCAAGATCTGACACAAACACTCCATCACTTGAATCAGAATGAAACATTCAACAGATCAGTGGCCACGATTCAAAGCCAGCAGAACCAGTGGTTCATGACACAGCAAAAGCTTCATTCATTCATCCATCCATTCATTTATTAATTGTTTCATTTATTTCAGCTAAGCATTGGTGCTGCTATGTTGCAGAAACTGTGTGAAAATAGATGCATGGGGAGAGAGGAAAGGCAGTGTAGCTGTTAATATGAAGCGTTCAACATTGTGAAGAAAACAAATACTGAGTGTTCAACTACAAGTGCACTGGGAATTCTGAAGAAAATATGCAGGGTTCTACAGAAGAACTACAGGTGTACTTAATTTGGTCTGGAACCTCAAGAAGACGTTCCAGAGAATAGAAAACAACATATAGGTTGGTACCTATAGAATCATTAATCATTACCAAGGCAAGAAGAAAAATGCATTTCAGGCGAATCTACTGAGTATGAGATGGTTCTGATGTGGTGAAGAACATGGACACTTTTAAGTATTGAAAGAAAACCAATAATTTATTCCTAGATTTCGTGTGTTTAGAGAGCAAAGGAAGAATGGTGAGAGTCAAAAAGAAGCATGGGCCACGTTCAAGATGTTGTAGGTCGTGTCCAGAATTGTTGCCCTTATTTCAACATCTTTGAGGGATATTAACAATGGAACTAATTTATTAAGATTTATGGTTATGATTGATGTATGCAGAATGATGGGAAAACAATAAGAGCATGAAATAAAAACTCGTTAGGGTTGTTTTAGTATTCTCTAGAGAAACAAAACTAATTAGAGAGATAGATTGGGAGAGAGAGAGAGACATTTTAAAGAATTGGCTTAGACAGTTGTAGAATTGCAGTCCCAAAATGCAAAGACAATCCTGCAGAATAAAAATTCCAGTAAGAATTGATTCACAGTGTAAGACAAGCAGGAAACAGCATGTGTCCTTTTCAGGGGCCTTGAGTTTTTTTCTTTTGTTTTGTTTTTGATTATTCCAATTGATTGAATGAGGGGCCCCCACATTCTGAAGATTAGTTTCCCTTATTCAAAGTCTATTAATTTAAATGTCAGTCACATCATTAAAATACCTGCTCAGCAAAATCTACAGAGGTGTTTGACCAAATAACTGGTAACCAGAGCCCAGCCAACTGCACACATAAAACTAGCTATCACCTAAGTACTATTGTGAAATAAATATATGAGGTGGTAGTTCAGAATAGAAGTGCTAACCATAAAAATGAAGAGAAATTGTGAATAAATATTGGGCTCAGAATGTACAAGACTTTGTCATCTAATGTACATATGTGGAGGGATGAATAGAATTACTCTCAGGTTTCTAAATCGGTAAATTGAATAGTGGTGCCTTTTACTGGGATATGAAACATTGGAAGAAAGGGTGCGGAAAGAGATAATTACACAGTTTTAGACAGTACATGCGGTGTATTCAATAGGCAAAAATGTTTTTTATTTAAAACACTGCGTAAAAGACAAGGAAAGAGAAATAAATGTGGTAGTTGTCAATATTAGAGGTAAACAAAGGTTCAAAGGGGAAACACAATCAAGTTCCCTCAAGCTCCCTGAAAACAAACAAGTCTGATCATAAACAACTCATTCCAAGAGTTTTTCTCACAGTCCCTGAGGAGATCAGGATCCCACAGACAAGTCACTGTTTTTAGATGATAGAAGAATTCACAGGTTAGTCAGGGGCATCTCATCCTGTTCTTTAATGGGGTCCCCAATAACTAGGCTGGAGCCAGAGTTCAGGAACGCAGTTCAGAATGCATGAGTCCACAGAGCCCATTCCCAGCTCATAACCTTCCTCCAAGAACAATGTCTTCATTAATTTTACTGACTGCTTCCACTTGGTACTTTCTACTCAGGATGTATTCAATCATAACAGTAATTATCACACTTAGTTTACAATAAGTTGCTGTTGAAAGTTGACACAGTCTTAAAGGTTTCGAGGTACAATAACCTTAACTTATGAGAGGAAACAACTTTTGAAAATTGAAAAGAATATTTAAGGGGAGTTTAAGCTTATTAAGTATTTTTTATGTTAAGCAATTTGTGTTTCTAATTATACATTTAGGCTAATTTTAGTAGAGGGAACTGACTGTGGGCCTCAGATATTTTTGATATCAGAAAATCCACCCCCTATCTTCACAAAAAAAGCTCCACATTGACTAATTATGTATAGATGAATATATTTTGACTACAGACACTCAACTTCCTTCTGTTATTATAGTCATGGTATACTGTCATATCAAATTTGATACAATAATGGCCTCACTAATAAAATAGTCTTTGGCGAAGCACTCTCTTCAGAGCCCCCTTAATCTCATTGTTCCGGAGGCTGTAGATGATGGGGTTCAGCATGGGAATCACCACTGTGTAGAACACAGACACCACCTTGTTCTGGTCAGTTGAGAAGCTGGACTTGGGCATCACATATATGAACGTGACGGTCCCACAGAACAGGGTGACTGCTGTCAGGTGCGCTGAGCAGGTGGAGAAGGCTTTACGGCGCCCCTCGTTGGAAGGCATCTTCAGGATGGTGGTGAGGATGTAGATGTAGGAGACACCTATGACTAACACTGTGAACACAATGACAGAACCGGCTGTGAACGAGGGGACAACTGCAGGGATACTGATATCAGAACAGGAGAGTTCAAGTAGAGGGGCAAAATCACAGAAAAAATGATTGACTCGATTTGGCCCACAGAAGAATATAAAGTAGAAGCAAATAGTAAAAGAGCAAGCGTTGAGGAAACCACCCATGTAAGCCAGTACGAGCAACTGGACACAGACTTGTGTGGACATTTCGGCCGAATAAAGCAGTGGGTTGCGGATTGCCACAAGGCGATCATATGCCATGACAGCCAGAAGGAAGCACTCCACTGCCCCAAAAAACCCTGCCGAACCAAGCTGGATGGCACATCCAAGGTAAGAGATTGTATTTCTCTCCACCAGGAAGTTTCCAAGCATATTGGGTGTGACAGAAGTTGAAAGGCCTATGTCTGCAGAAGCCAAGTGGCTCAGAAAAAAATACATAGGATGATGGAGCTGAGAAGAGACTCTGATCAGAATGATGGTGCTGAGGTTGCCAGCTATGGTCACCACGTAGATACAGAGGGCGATCATGAAGAGGATGACTCGAAGGATTGGGTCATCTGTTAAGCCCAGTAAAATGAAGCTTCGCACTGCTGTGTGGTTCCCATCCACCAGGGAATCCATGAGATAACGTAGCTGCTACCAAAACGAACCTGTGATGAAGCATTACAATAACGAAGTTGTGAATGCAATGGTTTATTTTCATTAATACACATAGAAGTTATTATAAACAAACTAATTATTCAAGCTAGGTTTGGACTTTTTTGTAGAGTACAGAGTTATGTGCAATGAATCGTGTATATTTTTTAAATTGTTGTTGTTTTCAGGGGTGGGGGCAGGTTGTTGAAGTTGGTTTATGTTCCTGGCCCTTCCTGTTCATCTCGGTGGAAAGGACAGCACATTCTCAGGCCCTGACTAAGGCGGAAATGAGAGTCCAGAAAACGGCTCCCATTATGGGAGGACGAGAACTTGGGGGAACAGCAGCGAAGGGAAAGGGAAGGGGCCAGCAGCATGGAGCCCTTTCTCCCTAGGAGGACGGGGAAAGGACGGAATCAGTGTTCCTGGAAAGACTCCATGACTTTGTGAAATCAAAGCTTAGACAACGGTGCTAACGTGGAAACGGGGTTCGAGCATGCTCTGTGCTAGGCTCCAACAGGAGTATTTCATCTTTCACAGTGAAGGATGTTCACTGCTGCCCTTCCCCCAGGCCACTCACTACAAATCTCATCTTTAGCCCCTCTGTCTTAAGCCTGTTTATAAAATGTTCTTAGGAGAAACACTAGAGACCCTGCTTCAAATAATGCAGATCTTTTTCTCTTTATAACATCAATTTATAAAATGTATTTAAAGTGGCTTTAAGTCTAAACATTAAAAACATAAGACTTATGAGAAGAGCAAATAGAAATAGTCAGTACAACACAAAAGAAATGTATAAATATAGGATTATATAATGAAGACATGAGTAGTAACTAACACTTTCTGAAAGTTAACTAAATAATAAGCACAGTGTGAAAGTTTAAATATATATAGGATGTTCCAAAAAATGTATACAAAGAACAGTGGAATTATAAGACCAGTGTTTATTAAAATATAATAGAATCTACAGATACCCAGTATACATTTTGAAGGAACCATGTAGTTCTCTATTTATTTTCATAAAATAATATTGAAGTCTGATGTTTGCTGTTGAGGAAACTGATTTGACATTGTTAAGTAACTTACCAAGTTTTCATAGCAAGTGGTGGAATCACAGCTGTGAATCTCAGGCAGTTTGAATCCAGTCCATTTCTTTTGTAACTACATATAGATGAAATTAAATCATACATGGTGAAGGTGAGTCTCAGAAATGTGTGGATAACAAATTACCATTTTTACAGCTAATATAGAAGAGATGCATAGTTAATTGCAAAGTTTACAGTTTCTATCAGTAAAGCAAGACATTTTTTAAAAGGAGTATTTTACAGTTTTTTAAGTAGAACAAAGAAGAAATAGAAATTTCAAATTGAGATTATGAACAATGAATTCTATTGTAAATTTATTATGTATATTTAGCATTTATAATTAAAATATTATTATATCAAGTAGTTTGAAATATCAGCCTAATACGTATAAATTTACTTAATCAAATAATTTCCTAATATAACAATGTTTTATAATGAGAGCAGTACAGAATGAAATAAATTTAGTTTAAACATAATATGCAGCTGAATAAAGTTATAGGCTAAAATGTTCAGCAGTTAGCCGGAGACCAGGTCGAACCTCATCTCCAAGTTTTCTGGCTCTATCTTCTTAACTTGATCAAAAGTATCTGGTTGTCTGTAAGCTAAAGCATTCAGAACAATAAACAAAGGAAGACTTCAGATATTCACAAACAGAAAGTTCCCAGAGCATCTCAAAGCTAGTGGATTTATTAGCATTATAGTTGACTGCCAAGTTCAGATAGTGTGAAAGACCATGTGAATTTCTGATCTTAAGGGTAGATAAGTGAGGAATCCTGGCACCCTGAATTATACTTTTTATACCCACTAAATAGACTGTAGAAACTTATGTTAATTTAGCTAAGGTTACCTGCCAGCTGATTGATAGGTTACATCTGCCTTATTTTTCCACTCTGTCTTGTGAGTGCAATTTTAGAGAATACATGGAAATCATACATTACTCACAAAAGTCAACATCTCACCTCTTGATATAAGAATTCAGTCATCTTACAGCAATCAATTAAAATCATTGTTGTTATATAGTAGCCATGCCACCTATTATTATTGTTTGCCTTTGGGATAACTCTCTGAAGATTCTAGAGATTCAAATGTGAATTCAAAAGCACCAGGGATCATTATCACATTCTCAAGTGAGTATTGAGCAGTTCACTTCACACAAACACACTACTTTTTAAGGGATCTGTCAATTTTGAACTAATCATTTCTTCTGAATTTTGGTGCACTTTCAGTTGATATTTATTGGGAATATAAATAATAAATTGTCTCGTAGCTAATATTGGTTCTAAGTGTACTTTGATATTTCAGGCTACGTAATATTAAACTTCACCTACAATATAGTAGCTTTAGTTTAATTCATTTGACAAGTGTATATTTTATAAGTGTTTTATCGTGATATGTGTAAGATACTCCTTTAGATGCCTTCGGGTGGAATGCCGTGTATGGTCGATTTTTAAACGACACAGTTGTTTAAAACATGTATATGTTTTTCCTAGCAAAGAGTATAAGATGTATTTCATTAAAGTTGAAGATAGAGAACTGATAAATAAAAAGAGTTCTGATGACTTGCAATATTGCATTGTGAGAAAGAGATTTTGTTATTTCTTTTATGTCTGTTCTCATTTGTTACTCTTTGAAAACCTCATTTTTGACTGGATCCAGAGGTCGAGCCTTCAGAGAGGACAGCCTATGTCTCCTGGCAATCTGTGCCTGATATTTTTTTTTTGCCCTCCTTCATTCTCTTAGCCAAAAGTTTAGCATATTCTGGGTCTTTTAACTTAATTTTTTTAGTATGTTGTTTCTTTAGAGGAATACACCGAACTTTGTGTTGCAGGAGACCTGGAGTAGTAACAAGACACTGAATCTCGGGTGCTCTGGTCCTAGTTTCTTACCTTCTTTGTTTAGGGGCTTTCTCACAACATATTGGCAGGCATCATCTTCTTTAGAGATTGAAAAGTCTTCAGATTCTGCTAGCATTCGGGGGCCCCAACTGATGAGGCACAGTAATATTAGTGAGACCAGGAATATCTGTCTCCTCACCCCTTTTTTTTACAATGACCAAGTTGAGAACATAGAGATTGGCATCCACAATGCAACCCTGAACAGACTTGTGCTTCCTCTCCCCAATCCTCCTTGGTCTATAACAGGAATGCCCCTTATTCAGTAGCAGGAGGACACAGCCATGGGACAAAACACCCTGCTTCATGGGGAAACCTTGTTTGTCATTCCCACCAGTGATTTGAACCTCAGAACCCTTCCATTCTTCACCCAGAGCGTTAGCAGCACCTTCTATGGCCATACACGCATCGTTCATCATTCACTTCGATGAATTTCTGGCAGCCAGTGGCTGGGAAAGAGATGTTCAGCTTCATCCTGAAGCAGCTGACCACCTCCTTGGGCATTTCCTTTCTTGTCCTTTTATGTTCTCAAAGGCTATGTTTTTGGTTCTAAAGAAGAGGTCAGAGCAGAACAGTGTTCTAAGGTAAGATAGATGTTGCTCATTAAGAGGGCAAGAAATAGAAGTGTGGGATCTGCAGGAATGAAACCATTTAAATGGTATGCAGAGCCCTGGCCGGTTTGGTTCAGTGGTTAGAGCGTCGGCCTGCGGTCCTGAGAGACCCGGGTTCGGTTCCCGCTAAGGGCGCGTACCTCGGTTGCAGTTTGTCCCCGGCCCTAGTCGGTCGTGCGGGTGGCAGCCACTCGATGTGTCCCTTTCACATCAATGTTTCTCTCTCTCTCTCTGTTCCTCTCTCTCCCTCCCACTCTACCTGAACAAAAAATGGAAAAATGTCCTCGGGTGAGGATAAATAAATAAATAAATAAATAAATAAATAAATAAATAAAAATGGTATGCAGAGTATTGTTTACTGTTTAACACAGTTGACGTTAATGACAAAAGTGAGGAGTAGAGTTTCTTCCTTGAAAAGTGAGTATTGGGATACCATTTTTTCACAGAGAGGTGTTCCCCACTCTCCCCACCTCCATTATCAGATAATAAATGAAAGGTTTAATTGGGGAAAAAGTCTAGAGCAAGGAGCTTAGAACCTTAGGTACATCTCTCTGCAGAACTCCTTAGGCAGTCTGTACCATACAGTTCTCTTGCTGTATTGTGTAAGTGTTAACTTAGTTTCTGTTGTTTTCTCTTTGGCTTACATTTTCTAAATTAACCTTTAAGCAACAAGGTGAGTGTTTATATTGCATGATGTGCATTTATCCTATTCCACAAAATTTCCAGTACTGTACAAGATTAACAAAACAATGTCTGTGGTATCCTCCTCTCTTGCTTTTATAAATGCGATCTTAGCACCTTAGACTACAGCAAAGACCTTCCAAGTGTTCTCACTCACTTGCCTTCTTGGACTATTTCAGTATCCTAAGACTTCTTTGTCATTTTAATTTTATCTTTGACAAGTCACTGTCATTGACCTGTTATATTCTACAGTGATACCTCGGTTCTAGAACATAATTCGTTCCAGGAGGACGGTCGAGAACCGAATTGTTCGAGAACCGAAGCAATGAAACCAATAGGAAAGCGTGACTCCACAAAGCGTGACTCTCTCTCTGCACTCACACTGATGACGCAAGCAAGGCGCGCTGGGCCCAATGAACGCCATTCGGCTCAACTCGACTCATCTCGGAAGTTCGAGTTCCAAATATTTGTTCGGATTCCGAGACAAAAGTTTCTCGAATCTCCATTTGGTCGAAAACCGAGGCGTTCGAGAACCGAGGTATCACTGTAATTTCCAGAAAAACTATGTCCCCATATTAGATTATTGCAAATAATTTCATCTAAAACCAATGTAGCATTCTGCCTCCCTTCCTGGACAAATGATACCTACCCCCACCCCCAAACACACACATTTTAAAAAAAATACATTTTGGGACAAAGAAAAACATTAGAACAATTCT